ATGCAAGCAGCACAATGCGTCGACCGATCGATCGATCGCTTCAGATCAGAGTTCAGTGACCGATATTTCTGTCGGCTTCCCATCAATATTAGGTAGAGAGGCCCACTGAATTTGTGTCATCGACGCGCGAGCCTCGTCCTTGTACCGGCATTCATTCATTTTTACACATTCCACGTTATTTTCTTTTTTTTAATCTTCTTTTCTTTTTTACTTCTTCCCTTTTTTTCTTCTTCCTTTTTTTTCCTTCCATTTCTTCATGTCTTTTTTCTCCTTCATTTATTCTATTTTTTTTCTTTTTCCTTCGCCATTACTTTTTGGGGGTTAAACCATATGATGTCGGCATTTTTTTTTTGTACTGTGGTGTGTATACGAGAGCTGCGGGAAATCCACTATCTTTTACTACTGTACACATAACCACTACAAAAGTTAATAACTATCAGTAATGAATAGTTAATTACTAAATACTAAATACCCTATAAGTAATTAATAATAAGTGAATAACATTTTAAAATTTAAAATTAAACCGTCTAAAATAATTATTTAAAATAATGCATTCTGGCCAATAATTATTTATATTTCATTATCATTAGAATAATTTAAAATAATCGTTCCCGCCTATTCTATAACAGAATAACATATTAAACTAGAATTAACTGACCTTGATACCCATAATGGCCCTGTTCTTTTCATATTGTCGAGTTACTACCCAACCTACATGGTCTGAAGATTGCCTTCCAGAATGAAACTGACTGTCGCCACTCGGTGTTGAGGTCAGTGTCCTTTCTTATAATTACACACGCTTACATATTGAGCCCTTTTATACTGAAACATAGCATACTTTAAAACGATATTTTATTGTACATGCATTCACACGTTATATATGTGTATATATATATATATATATATATATATATATATATATATATATATATATAAAGAGAGAGAGAGAGACAGAGACAGACAGAGACAGAGAGACGAGAGAGACAGGGAGAGAGGCAGAGAGACAGAGAGACAGAGAGTGAGAGACAGGGAGAGAAACAGAGAGAGACAGAGAGAGAGAGAGAGAGACCGGAGGTTTGAGTGTGTTGGTGCTGTTCTGATTGTTGATCATTCTAGATAACGCGCTTTCTCCCAGAAACTGTAACTAAGGTCTGCTCAGCATAGTTGCAGTATAAACCACAGGTTGGCTCTGTGGGTGTTGAACAAACACAAAATGTGCCTGAGCGAGAGTCTGCAATAGGGATTGGCTAGTCGCCCTAATAGACGGGCATCCTCGAATACGAGTGGTCAGCTATTATTATTACATACATGCATACATACATACATACAAACATTCAGAAAGAAAGAAATAGATATAGTGATATAAAAGGAGGCCCGATCGGACACTGCTTTCTTCTACAAAAAGGAACACATGCTTGAATCCTGTCGGAGAGTGCATTTTCTTTCTTAAGTCCTTAATGCTCAGGCCGGTAGACGTAATACACATTGTCTCAAAAAAGTAAGACATCTACTCAAACATTGGTATCCCCAAAATAACATTTTGAGTTGTAGGCAGACGCTTGCGCAGGCGCATTTAGTGTTTATTCAACACCCACAGAGCCCTTCTATGGTTCATCCTGCAATTATACTGAGCAGACCTTAGTTACAGTTTCTGGGAAAGAGCGTGTTATCTAGCGTGATCAGTAATCGGATCAAGGCTAGCACGGTCAAACCTTCGGTCACGATGACTTGTGACTTCGTGCTAGCTAGCACAGCTATCGACAGCCCACAAGAGTACCGTCTACCCAATTTCATTCACAAGGTTCGGGTCAACTCGTGGTATGGTTGTCAGGCACTTTCCAAAGGTGCGGTACGCTGGGTCGCTCCTTCCAGATCGATAACATCAGGAAGTCTCCTTGCTGAAAAATCCACTATGGTGAGATTCGAAAGCAAATTATCTAACCATCCGGCCACTGATAGAGGTGTTTCTCTCAAATGGTATTGCTAATGTCAATAAGTATACACAAAATTTCTTATCTTGATAAGATATCAGGTCTGTTTGTCTTTTAATTCCCTGTCAGTTTGAATTGGCAAGTCCCAGAGGATAGTTACATCGTTATTTTGGGTAATTGTGTCTGGTTGGTGCTCATACCATCTCTCAGTGTTTTCGATTTTGCGCTTCTTGCATATCTTCCAGCGCATATATGTCGCTACCTTGTTATGTCTGTAGGTATATTTATTTTTTGCCAGTTTCGGACATACTTAGATAATATGGTCGACAGTTTCATTATATTTTCCGCAGATCCTACATTTCGGGTTAGTTTCATCCTTAATTATGTGACAGTGATAGGATCTGGTTGCGGGTCTTTGGCCCTGAGCTGCAATAATTAGGCCTTCTGTCTCAGCTTTCAACCCGCTGCTTCCCAGACACTGATGTGTTTTCTGTTCGTCCACGTCTGCTTCTTTCGTTCTTTTTAGCTATTTGCCATGCAACGCCTTGTCCTCCCATTTTTTTTTTTTTGTAATCTCATTTGGCCAAGTTGTTTCGCTTTCTGTTTTACTCGTTTGGCGTAGATGACATTTGTTTTTTTTTTTGTTTGTTTTTGTTTTTGTTTTTTTGTAGGTAAAATTTCAGCCAAATTAAGCTGTTTCTTGAAAAGTGCAGTCTCTTTGTTGATGGAGTAGATTTGGTGTTTTACTTTTTGTAGAAGAGGGTCGTTGTTTTTTGTGGGGTATACTTCCAATCCGATTGTTGTAGTTTTTAGAGTTAGTTCAAATAATAATAATAATAATAATTATTATTATTATTATTATTATTTCCTGTGCACATCTAAAGGTTATCTGATGCCACTGAACTTGAGGAATCTATTTTCCTGAAAAAATCTCATTAGAAATATTTTATAAATTTCGAGCGAAATTAGCACTGGCTGCTCGGTCAGTGAATGCTGTTATATCACACGTACCATCTGATAGAATTTCTGTTTTTGCAAAGAGAAAATGCTGCAAATATTCGCAGGAAGTTAGTAACTGTTTATGGAAAGCATTTACATGATGTAAGCACAGTAAGGTGGTGGGTTAGTAAAGTTAATAATAATCCCCGAGGGGAAGGAAAAACTAACATTGGCGACACGCCCAGAAGTGAATTAGTGTTATGCCAACTGGGTTAATACTCTCTTTAAACTCATAGAAGAAGCACTATAGCAAAACACTGTGAAAGCCTCCGCAGAGTTGTTTATTATTATTATTATTATTATTATTATATTTCCTTTGATTTCTGGTGTGTACTCATTTCTATCCGGGTCCCACCCAAGAACCTAACGTTAGAGATGGTATCATGACATTTTCCAAAGACAAAAAAAAAAAAAAAACATATTTTACATAGACAAAGCCCTTCATGGCATGGGCTTCCAAGAATCCCTTCAATTAATCTACTGGAATCTTTTCCAACCAATCCGAGGGCACCAACTACAATAGGGGATTGTTGATGTTCCCTTGTGCCACATTATTATTATTATTATTATTATTATTCAGTGTAACCCGGATATAAGAGAGTTGTCGGGACCGGAAGAAGTCTCTTATATCCGGTTTCTTATATCCGGGTTTCTCTTATATCCGGGTTTTCTAATTATATATCACAGGGTTTGGGACCAGTCTCTTATATCCAGGTTTGGTCTATATAGATTAACACAGGCTCTAATTTGGGACCAGATAAAATCTCTCTTATATCAGGGTTTCTCTTATATCCGGGTCTCTTATATCTGGGTTACACTGTATTATTTTGTTTCCTTTAAGTTGTGGTCTATACTCATTTCTTTCCGGGTCCCGACTAGAGACCTAAGGTCAGAAATGGCATCATGACATTTTCCATTGAGCAATTTTGAAAAAAAAAAACACATATTTTACATAGATAAAGCCCTTCTTAAGGTGTTTGTTGTACTCGTGAGAACAATCTTTTGTATTTCATGGGACAATAGTAGCCAAACAAAATAAGAGTCCGGTTGTCTCTATCGAACTCTTAATAATAGCATAAAATATAAACAGGTCAACAATCTACATCAGAAATTAAAATAACGGTTTATAACAAAAAATAAAAAATAAAAATCACAATTTTTTTCTTTCATCCAGACTGGGGCGGGGACAGCCAAGCAGAAAGATATTAATGATTTAATATTGAAGTGCGTGCACACACACACAAACACACATCATCATCATCATCATCATCATCATTATCTTGTTCTTCTTGTTTTTCATCTTCTTCTTCTACTTTTTCTTCTTCTTGTTCTTGTTTTTGTACCTCTTTTTCTTGTACTTCTTTTTCTTGTACTTCTTTTTCTTGTACTTCTTTTTCTTGTACTTCTTTTTCTTCTTGTTTTTCTTGTACTACTTTTTTCTTCTTCATCATCTTCTTGTTCTTCTTCTTGTTTTTCTTGTACTTCTTTTTCTTCTCCATCACCTTCTTCTTCTTGTTCTTCTTGTTCTTGTACTTCTTTTTCTTCTTCTTCTTCATCATCTTCTTCTTTTTGTTGATCTTCTTGTTCTTCATCATCTTCTTATTCTTTTTCTTCTTCTTCTTCTTCCTGTTCTTGTTCTTGTACTTCTTTTTCTTCTTGTTTTTCTTGTACTTCTTTTTCTTCTTCATCATCTTGTTCTTGTTCTTTTTTTTATTGTGGAAATATTACTAAAGAAAATGAAAAATAATTGAAAGACAGAAATGAATAAAAATTGCAAACAGAAAAAGAATATGGGCCGCGGATTTGACTTTACCAGCAACTGTTCAGGAAATCGATATCGTAAAGCAGATCGGTTCAGACCGCTACCTGTGGAGATTCGTGATTTTGTTACTTGCCTGGTTCCATATGTTTTACATAGAAACACTTATAATGGTCACCTCACAAACCAATTGGCTAGTGTTGTGAGTTAGATCTTTGAACGAGATAAGCCGGGGATAGTAAATAAATATGGATGCACACCGGAGCGCGACGTTTAGCATGCTCGTTATTCAAAACGAACTATCTTGGCTTGGTAGACCATATTCTGCGGAATTGTGACTTGTTAATTTTAGAGTTCATTGGGGCTCCATGCTCTCATTTTCATCCTATCTCCAGGACAAAGAGTGTTATGTGGAGAAGTCCCACAGCGAGTTATATCTTCACGCGGGGATCCCTGTTCTGTGGAATTAGTTGTGTAGTAGTGGTAGTGGTGGTGGTGTGTATGTATGTGGTGGTGGTGGTGGCTTTCAGGCCATCTTTTTAATTTTAATCATGTCACCTCAAAGGAAGGAAGGCGATAAAGCCACTAAGTGTCAGAGGGCTACCTAGAGTGAAGACAACTTACAAAACGTTAAAGAGGAGAAAGGACAACTTACAACTTCTTTCAATTCTAATTCTTTCAATTCTAAATTTCTTTCAGAAGTAAGCGGGTACAAATGAAACGATCTGAAATTGACAACTTTTCCATTTTACTGACACAGACGTGAAACGCTTTTAGCTTAACTTTATTCCTTTCTTTCTCTCTTTCTTCCTTTCTTTCTTGCTTCCCAAAGCCCAACCCCACGTCCACGTCGTGGGAGGTGGAAACATGTAATACTGGCCAACGGGACTCTAGTAAATCTCTGACTGGCTTAGCAGGCCGACAGTGGATAAAAATTGCTCAAGAACACAAAAGAATATACAAACGGACTGATCAAGGTACACCCTCGGTTTTATTCTTTCACTAATTATGTTTTTTTTCTCTCCCAATACGAGTAGAGATATCGCCCGGTTCACACTCCTCGCCGGTTTTTGAACAGAAATAGTCCCTTCCTTTCTGTTTCGGGTTGGGTTTTCCGATTCCTTCTGAAGTCTTTTCATTCTCTTTCACTCCCAGTAGCCCCCTTACGTCTTAGTGGCATTATCGCCTTGCTTGGGGCGAATGTATTGAAAAACATAACACGAATGTTAACTCCTATTTCAAACATTCTAGAATGACCTACTCTTGAATAAAAACTGTGGGGTTGGGTATGAATAGCGGGAGGCATTTTTTCTAAAAAAAAACAAAAAAACAAAAAAAAACTGGAAACGGTGTGGTGGAATAATAAGATTTATTTTTATTTGAATGAACAAAGGTATGGTATAAATTATTTAATGATAGTCAAGACAATGTTCTTTTATATCGTAATTTCTTCCGCATGAAAATATAAACATTTCAAAGTATGTCCCTGATGTCTTCATTTGCTATTCTTTTCTTCACGGGTCACCCGTCACAGTTTTTTTTTTTTGTTTTTTGTTTTTTTAGTTGTACTCAACTTGGAGTCAAAAGAGAGAACTGCTTTGGCATTATATTCTTCTTTGGGGTGTGCCTGGAACTCGTGTTCTTCGCTTAGCATCCCAATGTGTTTTATCTTTTAATCACTCTCTTATTACTCCTCAGATTCAACTTTTCATTACTACACAACAGCTGTAAGGGCTTGTTCTTTCTTCAATAGAATATTACTCATAAGAATCATATCCAAATATTCTTTTCTCAGCCGTAACTTTCAGTTTATCTATATCTATAATTCTCAAAATGTGCTTTGCGTGATGTTGTTTATGCGTTTCTACAGTTTTTCGATTAATTTTTTTCTTTGATAAATAATTCTTCAGTGACGCTTTTGAGTGCAAATTGGCCGGAAAAAAATCATAACCTTGAAGGTGAAAAATCGAAAAAACTGATTTTTTTTTTACAATTTGCGTAAAAATCAAAGGCAAAATTTAATGTCTGTAAAAAACAGCATACAATCAGTTTAGAGAGTTAAAATCGAACGCAAAAGATTATTAGAATTATAAAAAATAAATATGTTATGAATAAAAATTATCGTATATTATTATTACGACGGTCCATGGAAGAGTTTCTTTCCTTGCAAGATTGAGAATGCAAAAACGGCCCTTTTCAGCCCCTCCATTCAAATTGTTTAACCCCCATTTGGGGATGTACCTCAGTTGCACCCAGTTGTTGTTATTAATATTTATTTTCAAGTGGGCTGACTTTAAACTTAAGCTGCTCCAACTGAACGGCAAAAATTCCCTATAATGAAGTACCCGGTCGAAGACGGGTTATCCTGCTAGTTTTTAAAAATAACTTTTCGGATCAGCTCTTCAATATGGTGCCTAGAGTCTTCGAATTTAATCGCAGTACTAGTCTGGCGACGAGGTCACGCCAATTTAGACTTAATCTGGCTAGATGTAATCGTAAATTTTATGCTAAACGAACTGTTTCTTCATTCATCTCAGAAATATCAGTACTGAAAGGCCGTGTTCTAAATATTTCAAAGATGAGATGAATAATTATGTACATAATACCTATTTACATTATTCAGACTGTTGTCCTCATCTTTGTTGCCATATTTATTACAACGTTTCGGCTTTTCAGTATCTGTCTATACTCTTTTCTCTGTTCTTTCTGAGATGGGGTATTATGTACAAAAAAAAAAAACTATTTATCATTTTGAATTATTCGGACTATTGTCCTCATTTTTTGTCGCCATATTTATTACAACGTTTCGAGGCTTTTCAGTTATCTGTCATTTATATTTCTGAGATGAGGTATTATCTAGCCAATTTACACTATTTGAGACATTATTCGGACTGTTGTCAGAATGGGCATCTTTGTTGCCATATTTATTACTCAAAAAACGTTTCGGCTTTTCAGTATCTGTCTATATTTCGTTTTTGAGATGAGGTCTTATTATGTGCTATTATCATTATTTTAATGTATTTATTCGGACTGTTGTCCTCATCTTTGTCGCCATATTTATTACAACGTTTCGGCTTTTCAGTATCTGTCTATATTTCTGAGATGAAGTATTACTTTGAATGACTTTTAGAAATGAATGAAGTTTTACAACTATTTAAATTATTCTCTTATCTATTGTCTTATATCCGGGTTGTCGGGACCGGAGAAGAAGTCTCTTATATTCTTATATCACTTTGGGACCAGAAAATCTATCTTATATCCTTATATCCGGGTCTCTTATATCCGGGTTACACTGTATTATTTTGATATTAAATACATGTTAATATTATATTATTGTTAATGAAATAGACAAAGTCCGACAATTATTTTAAGATATTTTATGTTTATACGTACTTTTTATAGATACAAATGTTTAAGTAAATGCTCTGTTTATAATAAACAGTATTAACGACATTTACTGCCGTGAATGTCCGAGAAATTTTCATAGAAAATATGCGTTCATTCCACAAAGTCGTTCCTTGCAGATTGACGACAGATTTTCGATTGGATTTAAATCAGAAGAGTTTTCGTACGTTCCCAGCACAGACAATGGCCGTAGGACAACTAATCGACAGTCGAGACAATAGTGTCTGGGCAGGATAAAAATCTGATGCAATCACGGTTGACGCAATGTTTTTCAAGGCTATACACCCCGAAAATAGATTCATATTACTGCACACCACTACAAATGACCTAATCTGAGGGGTAAAATAGAAACTGATTACACCCTGTCACACGAGTGGGTCTAAAACTAACCGTATGGTGAGAGAAAGGAAACTAAAGCGGTTCTTTCAATTAATTTGCACAAAGATGTATGTTGACTTGGACAAGTATTATTTCTTTCGGGAAAGGAGATATTTGAAAAAATATCCGGGGCGTAGATTTATATTTTGGTAAAATTCGATGGCGGCACTCTCCATGATTTTTCCATCTAAGTAAGTTACTTATAATAAAGGAATTTGTCACGTAGTAAAATAATTTAAATATTAATTGCATGAGAGAAAAACATCATTTATTCATTTTCGTTCACAAGACATTAAATTGTGTCCCTTAGCATCTTTCATAATTTACCGAGATTTGTTCAGTTAGCATGATGAATATTTATGAGCGATATTTTAAATTTTGTTTATAAATAATTGTTGCAAAAAAAAATCCTGACAGATGGCTTGATAATTTCACCGGTGGATGAAATCCCTTGAGTAACATAAGTTTAAGTTTCTTTCTGTTTTCATTCATAGTGTCCTTTTAAAGATAAATTGTCGTGATATCTGAAATTATTCACTCCCCACCCCCACATATATATTTTCTGGAGTGTAGATATTTTAAAAAAATCCGAATTGCAGAGTTATATTTTGATAAGTTTCGATAACGGTACTCTCCAGAATTTTGGAGTAACGACCATCACTCACAATGGCCGTGGGACAACTAATCGACAGTGGAGACAATAGTGCTTAGGTGTGATAAAAATCTGATTCAACCACGGATTTCGCAATATTTACAAGGCCAAACAAATTTCATCATACACCCCGAAAATAGATTCATATTACTGCACACCACTACAAATGGCCTAATCTGAGGAAAAAATAGAAATCGATTACACCCTGTTACACGAGTGGGTCTAAAACTGACCGTATGGTGAAAGAAACGAAATTAAAGCGGTTGTTTCAATTAGATTGCTCAAGGGTGTAAAAAGCAAAGAAATTACTTATTCCCTTCAAATTTTGCTTTTGTGGCCTGGATATCGATCTTTTAAAATCTATTTTCCATTAAATTCCAGACAGATTCAGCGCTGAGTAACTGAAGGAGAATTTTTTCTAGAACTTTCAAGTAGTTTCAAAGACTTTCGGGAAGTTTGTAAAAGTTTCAAGAATTTCTAGAACGTTCTGGCAACAGAGATGGCAGTGTAAATACAGGGAACGTAAGTTCAGCAGTTTAGTTTACTTTTAGCTGTGCAAGTGCAGACCAGTTATCATTGAGAGATGCATTTGTCAGAGATGGCATCAGGAGGTTGCAAACATCCGACAGACGCATCTTGCTATGTCAGTGTCGAACTTATCAAGACAAGAGCGAAAAAGTACTCTGTGGGAATATTTACTTCTAGCTGGTGAATGGGTCGCGATTGTGATTAACCAGGACTAGGATAGTTAGTGATAACCAGTTTTTCCCCACTTCCCCTTCGGTCTTGTGCTAAAATTATGAATTTTATACATAATAAATATCGTTTAATTCTAGCTTTCCCCATCCTGGGTGAGACGATAAACATCCGCGTCCTGGGTATGACGATAAACTACATCCGCAGCCTGGGTAAGAAGATAAACTACATCCGCGTCCTGGGTAAGACGATAAACATCCGCGTCCTGGGTATGACGATAAACTACATCCGCAGCCTGGGTAAGAAGATAAACTACATCCGCGTCCTGGGTAAGACGATAAACATCCGCGTCCTGGGTATGACGATAAACTACATCCGCAGCCTGGGTAAGGCGATAAGGTACATCCACGTCCTGGGTAAGACGATAAACTACATCCAACAGCAAGACCTCTGATCAGGAGGTTTTGAGGAGAGTGGAACCACCTCTTAATTGCTGGTATTCCCAGGTCCACCCTGACTCTGGGTGGTAGCACCTGTTAGGGTCCCACCTATGGGCAAGTAGTTACTCCGACCCTAAACTGGAGTCAAAACACCGTGAAAGTGTAAAAATAGGTTTTAATACCAGCAATACATTTTTGTAAAAAATTATTACCAACAATAAGTTTTTGAAGGAAAAAAATATTACCAGCAATAAAATTTTGTCAGCATTAAATAACCCATTGAGGTGTTGATATGTTGTAAAACAAAACAAACCAACCAACCAATCTAGCTGTCCCAGTGCGGACAAGACATCATTGATAGATACATCAATAGGCTATAAGCATCTGGGTGACACATTTTGCTATATCTATAAATGTTACTATCAAATCCTGACATTTTGTTTCTACTTTACATGAATGGGAATGGTCACATTTACCAGTTTTCCCAATGGGAATAAGACAGTTTCACAAATATCATTATCCTAGTCACAAAAGCAAAGTTTGAAGAAAATATTAGCCATTTTTCATACTTTCTTGGTGTAGGTAAGTAGAAAGTAATAGTTGCTATTCAAGGACGAAAATCGAGTTACGTAGTGTTATTATAATTATATTAGCAATGATATAATATTACCATATATTTAATATTAATGTTAATATTACATAATATTATGTATTTTATACATAATAAATGTCGTTTACTTCTAGTGCAGACAAGTCGTCGTTGATAGATGCATTTGTCAAAGATGGTCACAATGATCGAAACATTGTGATAATAGCGACTAAAATTTTATTACAATTTGTTATAATTCGGAGGAAATTAATTATTTTTTTTTTACAATGAGGTTCAACCCGAACAAGGCCCGGGAGCCACTCGAGCTAGAGAGTTACAGAGTAAGGGGCACGGTTAATGCGGTTAACCTTCGACTTGAACAGGTTAAGTAAAAAGGGGGAATATTGGACAATAGTTTGGACAGTGAAATCTGTCATGTCTGTAGAAGATTCATCTGGATTTCTCGATGTGACATCTGTTACTGTTGGCGACCCGATAAAATAGAAGGAAAAGCCCTCGTGACTACAATCAAAGAAGAGAAGAACAGGCTAAGAGATCGCTAGTCCATGTCTATTTTTCTTTTTTACAATGATGTTTACTCTGTACCCAAGACCCAAGAGCCACTCGAGGTTGAGCATTACAGAATAAGAGGCAAAGTTTATGAGGATATGTGGGAAAGATAATGATTAACCGCAACTTTGGACATAAAGATTATAATTATCAGGGAAGCATCATACTTTTTTTCAATAGTATCTTATTTCTATTGTTCTTGCTTTTTATCTTTTCTTTCGGTCATTTTCGCTTTATTTCTTTTGTTCTTTCTTTCTTTCTTTTTACTCTGAGCACCACCCACCAATTCTTACTTTTTTCTTTCCATCACGTTTTCTTTCTTTCTTTCTTTCTTTCTTTCTTTCTTTCTTTCTTTCTTTCTTTGAGCCAACCCATCAATTCTTTTTTTCTTTGTTCCACCACGTTTTTCTTTCTTTCTTTTTTCTTTCGTTCGTTCTTTTGTCCTTTCTTTCTCCTCTGAGTGTCATCCACCAAGTCTTTCTTTCTTTCTTTCTTTCTTTCTTTCTTTCTTTCTTTCTTTCTTTCTTTCTTTCTTTCTTTCTCTGAGCCCCGCCCACCAATTCTTTCTTTCTTCGTTCCACCATCTTTTTCTTCTTTTTATGCCTTTCCTCACGGATTTCTTTCTTTCTTTCTTTCTTTCTTTCTTTCTTTCTTTCTTTCTTTCTTTCTTTCTTTCTCCTCTGAGCACCACCTACCAATTCTTACTTTCTTTCTTCCATCACTTTTTCTTTCTTGCTTGTTTTACACCTTTCCCACCAAGCACCAATTTCCTTGCCTTCCCCACGTTTTTCATTCTTTCTTTCTTTCTTTCTTTCTTTCTTTCTTTTTTTTCTTTCTCTTCTTTCCCGCCCACCAATTCTTTCTTTCTTCGTTCCACCATCTTTTTCTTCTTTTTATGCCTTTCCTCACGGATTTCTTTCTTTCTTTTTCTTTCTTTCTTTCTTTCTTTCTTTCTTTCTTTCTTTCTTTCTCCTCTGAGCACCACCTACCAATTCTTACTTTCTTTCTTCCATCACGTTTTTCTTTCTTTCTTTCTTTACACCATCCACCAAGTCTTCCTTTATGCCTTCCCCCATGTTTTTTTCTTTCTTTCTTTCTTTCTTTCTTTCTTTCTTTCTTTATTTATTTATTTATTTATTTATCTGAGCACCACCCACTAATTTTTACTGATATCAAATGAATAGACTAAAGAGACAAGTAAATTAAAATAGGTGTCGTGTGTCAGGTTAAATCTAACGGAGGTCATTCCACGGTCAGTATCCGTTCGAGGGTCTAAATCCGAAACAATCTGTTCTCAATTCTCGAACACCTTCCTCTCCCACGTCGTTTCTCAATCGGCTGACCGAGTTTTAGTTCATTATTTTGCTTTTTCTTTCTTTCTAACCACCCACCTTTTTCCTTTAATTTTGGAAGGGTGTGAAAAGAAGCGGACCTCTCTATCTTTTCATTCTGACCGGCCTAAAGAGAGATAAATATCTGTCTATATTTCTGAGATAAGGTATTATGTACATTATCTACATTATTCAGACTATTGTCCTCATCTTTGTCGCCATATTTATTACAACGTCGCCATATTTATTACAACGTTTCGGCTGTTGTACGCTCCGGCCTGCTTCAGGTGGTTGTGTTGGAATGTCGAACTGAACCCTTTATTTCGCTCACTGGGGAAGACTGTTCTAGTTCCTGTTAATTTCCCTCTGAAAGTTCTCCACGTGGCAGCAACCCACAAAAACTGGTATAGACGTGTACAAGAGGAGGACAACAAGTATTTAACTCACACTCTTTGGGTCCTGTCACTGGATCTAACCAACGCCTTCATCCACTTTGCCATGTGTCCTTGAGGACATCTCTGTACGAATTTCTGGGTACTATAAACCTAATGACTCAGCAACCATTTTTACCAGTGCTCAGAGACATTAGATAAAGAATTGGTCAGTATAAGTAGTACCCTACATCGTAACAACTACCCTGGGTACTTGGCAGCAGCCCTAAAAAACTGGGATATGCGGGTACAAGAGGAGGACAACAACACTCAGAAAAGAGTCTGCCTGCCTTATGTGAACGGGTTATCAGAGAAAATACAAAGAATCTGCGGTCCATATAACATCAGGACAACCTTCAAAAGCTTGACGACACTTCGCAGATATCTCTCCTGAGTAAGACCCCCCATAGAGGAGAATATGACTGAAGACTGTGTGTACGCTATCCTGTGCAGCTGCGGAAAGAAATATAAAGGGGAGACAGACCGCCCCCTTAAGATAAGGCTTCAAGAACACCAGAATGCTGTAACACGAGGAGAAGTGGAAAAATCAAGAGTGGCTGACTACATATGGAGAGAGAAGGGAGATCACCGTCCTCTGTGGGATCAGGTTGACAAGGAACACCATTAAAAAATTCGTAAATTTAAGGAATCAGCACATATGCTAGGCCACAAAAATCTCCTGAGCCGACCAAGTATAGAAATGAATACAATATGGGAACAAGTAATAAGCAGTGCCAGAGAAAAGTAATTATAACAACAAAAGTTGCAATATGAGCTCTGATATAAACATGCAATAATAACAGCAAAAATTGCAATATGAGCACTGGTAAAAATGGTTGCTGAGACATTAAGTTTAAAATACCCAGAAATTCATGCATAGGCGTCTTCAAGGACACATAGCACAGTGGATAAAGGCGTTGGTTAGATCCAGTGACAGGACCCAAAGAATGTGAGTTCTATACCCGGTTAAGGTAGTGGAGAACTTCCAGAGGAAACTTAACTGACATCCGCTAGAACAGTCTACCCCAGTGAAATAAAGGGTTCAGTTCGGCATTCCAACCACCTGAAGAAGGCCGGAGCATACAACGGCCGAAACGTTGTAATAAATATGTCGACAAAGATGAGGGCAATAGTCCGATTAATGTAAATAATAGAGATAAATGTATTACAAAATGGATGTTTTTTTTTTTTTTTTTACGAGACGAAAGGAAAGCAAAACATTTTTTTTTAAATTTGTAAAATTATCCGATTTCTTGGTCATTTTATTAGGAAACTATGGAGGCACGGTGGAGTAGCGGCTTGGATTGAGGAATCGGAGAGCCGAGTTCGAATTCCAGTCGAATCCATTACATTCACTTACGGGCTAATACCCTTGGGAAAGGTATGAATCCTCTTCTTCTCCCCTAAGCTATGGGTAAGTAGCAGAACAGACCGAGTTCAATAGCGGTTCGAATTGATGAATCGGAGAGCCGAGTTCGAATTCCAGTCGAATCCATTACATTCACTTACGGGCTAATACTCTTGGGAAAGGGATGGGTAAATAGCAGGAGAGACCGGGTTCTTCTTCTCACCCTCCCCAGCTATGGAGATACCGGGTTCTATAACCTTGGATAGCACCTGGTCTAGCGCAGAAAGAAATGTCAACTTACTGCGGGAAAAATCTGCCTCGTCAGTTTTGTATCGAAAGCCTAAGAGTGTATCACGCATGGCACAGAACTGACTGATGGAAATGTTGGTTTAATACCTCTTTTCGAAATCTCGTGGGGTGTTTGCGAACTTTTTATTTTTTGTTTGTTTTTTTTGTTTTTTGTTTTTACAGTTATATAAAGAAAAAAGCTTAAAACTGTTATTTCAGCAAAACGTTATGCAATATCGAGTGTAAACATGCTGGAAATTCTCCTTAAAAAAATATTTCAATAAAGCTGAAAAAATGTTTTTAGAGTTGCACAGTTTAATAAATTATTTTCTTTCAGATTTGACAGCAAAAAGACTGAATATTAGGTACCCTGACAGAAATGCGATGCGGTTTAAAATTAATTTTAAAAAATGAAAAATCTTTATTGAGGCTTCTATTTTAGTTATAATTTCAAGCTAAAAGATCAAATTTAATATTTCCAATAAGTAAATTTTTTTTCTGTATTTCAAAACAAATTTAACTTGATTGGAATGAGTTTTCGTTTTGAACTAAATTAAACATCTCTGATTTTATTTTAATTTTTATCCATCTGGCATCACAATGTAATTCGCTATTAAAATATGTTTCAAAAATATATTTTTCTGAATCTTTCTTTGAGAAAGAATAGCTAATATAAATTTTAATTAATCTGATTTTATACAATTACTTTTAGTTTAAAATATCGTAGAAATTCATTTTTTTATTGGCTGAAAATTTTATTGACAGCTTGAATTCTTGAATATTAGTGTTTGAACCTTTTATATTATATTCTTACTCTGTCCTAGACATTGAGTTCTACCTGGATTCTATCCTCTTGGGAATTCTTGAATTTTATAGACAACCGAAAATTTAACTATTTTTTCTACGGGTGACAAACTGTATAAATTACTTGATGAGTATAACGTGAGCGCATTTTTTAATATCATTTTTAACTACCCAGTAAACTTTAAAATTTTTGAAAAAAAATTCTCTGCAACCTAAGGTTTGTTGAATTTTAGGTATTTTTGCTTTAAATTTACTATACTTACCACTCTTATTTTCTGATAATATTGTGTATGAACGTCCGTATTTATAAAAATCGATACCTTTACACACACTCATACAAAAATATTCAAAATTATTTTTAAAATACTGGCGGTCGCCGAATTTTAATAAGCTTTCCATTTATGATTAGTAAATATATTTTTTACTTAATAAGAATATCACCTAAAACCTACAAATTAATACAGAATTTTAAAAGATTTTTTTTCATAAAATTAGTTAAATCTTCTCTAATTAAATAATATCTTAGCTTTATTGCATTTTTTACTTTACGATTCAGAGCAGTTAAAAAATGCAATAAAGCTAAGACATTATTTAATTCGAGAAGATTTAACTAATTTTATGAAAAAAAAATATTAATGAGACTATTGATTTAAGAAAAACATATTTCGCTGAATAATGAATTTTTTTACAAGAATTGCTTTCATTTTTGAAAAATATTAATTATTATAATTTATAAAGTTTTAAATCGCCGGGCTCTACTGCAAGTTATCATTAAATTAGAATGAATAATTTTCCATATTTATCAAAGTTCTACTCAGCGTTTCGTAATGTTTTCAGTCTCTCATCGGACTTTCGAAAAGAATGATTGTATTGATCAGATAAAATGTATTTTATAAACGCATTTGACGTTCAAATTTAAATTCTACACTTACAACGGTCGACCTCCCTCCCTCCCAACTTTCCCGCAACAACTGAAAAATCAAATAATCACTTTGCGGTTTGTAACTTTAGATCTAAAATTATATTTACAATGGTTAATCTCACGATTTTTTCCACAAATAATCAGGTTTACTTTTTGTTTGTCTTTTTTAAATAATACATGAGCCACTTAAACAAGTTAGTAATTCGAATCCTGATAAACAGAGCGCGAAAAACTGATGAACATTGCATAAATCGAACAAGAATGGCGCGGCTTTGTCAAGGACACCGGAAGAAGATATATATATATATATATATATATATATATATATATATATATATATATATATATATATATATATATATATTGCTTTTTGTTTACAGTAAGGTTCATCTTGTACAAAGGCCCGGAGGCAACTCGAGGTAGAGGGTTATGTTAATGTGTATTTTATATGGATAGGAGGGGAAGATAACGGTTAACTCTTGACTTGAACAGGTTAAGGTTGTAATGATCGCGGAAACATCATCTTGGGAGTCTGTTTTAAAGGGCAGTGGTTCGCGTGAAGAAGCTGTTCGAGAGGAACTTACTTCTCGCCCATGGAATTACGGTGGGAAGGTGGGTGGTTTACTACAATGTCGGTGTTTATCGCATTATTGGAGGGTTTCGAAAAGAGTCACAGCACGTAGAAAACGAATATAAACGCATCTCTTGTCCCCGCCCCCCAAAAATGTGTTTTATCGTGATGACACTCTTAAAAATATAACGATCGTGAAAACCGACCAGATCTTATGGACGATCTTAGGGTTCTTGCGCATAATCTTTCATTAGGAATTATTAATATATTCTGGTTTTAAATTTCGGGATTGTGATCTTTCGGGGTTTTGATACATTCGGAACTTCGGGATTTTAAATTTCGAGATTTTGACATTCGTGATTTCGGGATTTAAAATTTCAAGATTTCGACATTCGGGATTTTAAATTTCAAGAATTCGGCATTTGGGATTTCGGGATTTTAAATTTAAAGAATTCGACATTCAGG